TATTTTAGTGACGTGCTTGGATGTCTAATAAAGATTTATTTTCTTTTAAAGTTACACAAAATTGATGCAAAATATTTTGTACATTAGAAAAAAATAGCTATATGCTCTTTATTACATTAAAAACTATACCAAAAATTAACTACTCATCAAGAAGGTGAAAATTATCATTCTTTATTAAGGATTTATCCCTATGTATGCAATTAATTGTTTTTAAATACATGTCATTTTTGTTTTCTATAGTGATTAAATTTTGGTAATAAAATATAAATAATTCAATCAAGACTGAGTTAATGTACAATATGTAATGTTGCCACATGAATTATTATTTCATATTTATACACGTAAATTTACAGGTAAAATTTAAAGCATTATCATTTAGAAACTACTCTAATTCTATTCTGGTTATGTTTTTGTGTCATGAAATTTGAAAGAACTAACATTTCATTTTGATAAAGTAATCAGAAGTGGGATCCAATTTTTCTACTGGTGGCCTACCAGTGCACCATCTGTGTTTTATGAGAGGTAGCAGGATAAAGCCCTAATAAGATTTTTCAGCAAATGGTACCAAACAGACATCACTCAAGGTCAAGTGAAGGTTAAAAAATGTGTATTTCTAGAAAGCTCACTGGAATATAAATAAATGTAAATGAATTCTCTATAATCAATTTTATATGTTTGGAAAAAGATGTATGTGCAAGTACATTATTTAAAGGAAATGCCATTAAAAATCTTGCTTGGATTGGGAGTTATCATGTGCATATTTGTTTTTCTCAAAAGGCAGATTTCCAAACACATGTGCATTTCATGATTTCTATCAGGGAATAGACACGATACAAGGTCTTTGGGATTGCATTCTACATAGTGCAGAAGAAGTTGGAATAAGTTGTTTTATTAAAAATTTAGGTATCTAGGGAGAGGAGATGTGTTGGCTGTTTTGCCAGTTCCTCCTAGTGCCTCATGATCTCAAAGTCTAGAGAAGACTGTTTAGATCAGAAACTGGCAAACTGTAGCCAGTGAGCATCAAACCTGGTCCACTGCCTGTGTTTGTAAATAAAGTTTTATTGGAGCACAGCAACACTTGTTTGCCTAAGAATTGTTTATGGTAGCTTCTGTGCTCCAACAGCAGAGCTGAGTAGTTACAACAGTGAAAATCTGGCCCTCAAAGCCTAAAATGTTTATCATCAGATTCTTTACAAAAAAAATTGCTTATCTCTGGTTGAGTTCAACACTATCCGATACAAATAAAATGTAAACCACGTATATAATTTTAAATTGCCTAGTAGCCATATTAAAAAAAAAAACTCTTTAGAAACAGGTAAAATCCATTTTAATAACATATTTTATTTAACCCTACATATAAAAAGATCATTTTAACATGTGGTGCTAGACACATTTCAAGTGTTCAATAGCCATATGTGATTAGTGGCTACCATATTAAACAGTGCAGTGCTAAACAATCAACCAGGGGGGCTGTTGGGCCCTATCTGATAGAAAATTAGTCTTTTTTTTTTTTTAAGAAAGGGCATGACAGTTAAAATAATCCTGTTTATTACTCATTTACAGACAAGAAATGCAAAAAAAAAAGGGGGGGGGAAGAAAAAAAAGAGTTTAAAACTAAGAAACCAACCAACAGACAAAACAGGCCTTTTCTCCTTAAAATATGATGCAGCTACAAAGATTTCTGCCATATAGAGATGATTTTAGTAAGGTTGTTTATTTCCTACTTTGAAGCTAAATTCCTCTCACTGCAATTTAAACAGCTTCTATCTTGTTTTATCCTCAGCAGAATCTGAGAAAAGCAGTTCCCCATCACTAATATGATATTGTATTCCTTTAAATCCTTTAAGACTCTGGCCCTCTCCTACTCCAAAGATTTTTCTTTGTCTAGCTGCACAAATTCAACAACTCTAGCATTTCAAATTGGACCCATTTTGAAAGTATCGTATTGTATTTGTCGTTCTCTATAAAATCTGTTTTAAAATCTTTATGCACTCTAAAAATCTTTAAAATCTATATGCACTCTTCGAATGCAAGAAGAAAACTTGAATATAGCATTCAAATAAATTCCAAATATTTCAAAACACAAGTGGCTCACCACACAGATCTAACATGCTTTTCTTCCGTTTAAACAATTCACTCTACCATTTGAAAGTATTTCACTGCATGTCACTAAAATCCACATAAAAAAGTTCTGAGACACAAAGTAACTTTATACATTTCTACATTTCACAGGGTTACTGTACCTCATTTTCCTACCTCTAAAATAAGTGTGATTCACACCCTCTTCTTTCAAACTATTTTTTTCTTACGAAAACCCATGAAGCATTTTATTATATTAACAATAAGGAGAATGGAGAATTTCCAAGCACTCTTGAAATTTCATGCATATTAAATTTGCAAATAAAAGATTAAGATAAAACAATCTCAAGAGCTTAAATCAAAGAGGATGAAAGGAAGATATGCAGCACATAACTGGAGAAGATAGAACTTAGGGGAAGCACAAATAAAAACAGCTCTAATTAGCAGTAAGCTCAATAATAATGGAAGTATGGTGTCTAGAACAAAGGAGGTGATAGTCCTGTTTGATTAAACTCGCCAGCTCTGAAGAGAGCAAAGGTTAGAAATCGCAGTCATCTAAGGCAAAGGGTACTCGCAAGGAAATAAAGCTGGAATAAGCCTAAAAGTAGGAAAACAAGACTCTGGCATTTTATTGCTTCCCGGAGTCAAGAAAGAAACAAAATTACATAAAGAAAATGAAATCTATATATACTATTACCACTACCTAAAGGGTAGCTCTGAGGTCCTCCAAGAAACTGAAAGAAATAGTAATCAGTTTACCTTCTGGGAATTAAACTAGTAAAATAGGCACTTGATGAATGAGATTTGCTCCTGCAGACCCTGGGCATCTGACATGCACGAGTCAAGACATATCTCTGAGTTCTCGTCTGCTATTCTAGCATATAATTCCCCCTATAAGATGCACACTCTGTTAGGCATAGAGAGCAGGAAAGCCACATCAAGATGGGAGTGCGGGGCAGTCATCCGGGCTCACCCACCGGGCTTTATTTACCTCAATCTTGTAACACATATGATTCAGTTTCCCACATTTGGAGACTAAGACTTTATGACTGTCATTTTCGGTTGTGAATGTTCAAGTTTCATCAGACCAACATACTTTTCCTTACAAAACAGGACCTATTTCAAGAATGTGAAAAGCAGTTTTTGGAATCTAAAACCAATCTGACTAAATGAGAAAAGAAAAACTACAAACCAACAACGACAGGCTGTAGCCTAATGACTGGTTTTAACATCTGAAGGAGGAAAGTATGAACAAAAGTGGGTGGCCTAAATGCAGTCTTAAAAAATAAAGATGCAAAATTTAGGAATTTGTCAGTGTAGATCAGCCTTACCCAAGAAACGCAGTACCTCACATCAGACTCTCAGAGCTCAGGGAATGAGCAGCCCCTGTCCCTGCCCCCTCTGTGAAAACCCACTTATGCGGTTTTTCCCCGCCGCTACCCCTAGGTTTGCTACAATGACAATATGCTGAGTGATGAACAAAATTTCAATGACATTTATCATCATAAACTAGAGCACTGTCATTCTAGTTTATACATGCATTTCTTGGGTGTTTGGTTAGTGTGGCTCAGTTCTCAAAAGGTTGACAAAGCCTGGCCCCACTGATGAAATCTAAATCAAGTCTTTAAACCCAAAAAGCTGAAGATCGCACACGGTGCTCCCACCCCCAACCTGCAGCTTTTTTTTTTTTAATTAATTTATTTTTTAAGTAGGCTCCATACCCAATGTGAAGCCTGAACTGATGACCCTGAGATCAAGAGTCACATGCTCTACTCACTGAGCCAGTCAGGTGCCCCACACCCCCCTTTTTCTCCCACCCTGCAGCTTTAAGGCACAGCTTGAGCAGCTCATCAAGCTTTCTTAGAGATGACATATCCTGTTGCCTCTAACCATACATATGCACATGAGATAAAACAAAGCCTTATTTAAAGTCCTTATTAATGGTATTTTAAGTCTTCATAATACCATTAAAATAATGGTAAATGTGAACAAATTAGTGAAATTTTGATTTAGAAATCCCACTTCTGGAAATATATCCCATTAAATAATACTGAATATGAAAAAAAGCTTTAAGATTCATAGATATGTTATTCATAAAAGTGAAACATAAAAAACAATCCCTATATTAACCACAGGAAAATAATTTAATCAGTAATAGTATATGCAAAGTATAGAGCATGATGCAGTCATTAAAAAGTCATACATAATATTATGAAAATAGGTTTACATAGAAAATATTCCATTAGATATATAATATAAATGGCATAGTTACAGCAACATGATGAGCGGATAACTTAGAAATATAGATGACAAAAAGATGGAAGAGTCCCTTAAGAAATCAAATTACCATATTATTTTACAACTGAAAATAAGAAAGCTCATCCAAATCTCTGTGAAGGTGGTTGACTTGGTTTATGAAAGTAAATGCAAACTCCATCACTGTGTATTAATTAAGGCTTGGAATCCTAAAGAGCTGGTGATCCTATAGAGGCTGAATATATAAAAAAAATTTCCATACAATAATCCAGTTTTTGTGATACCTTTTTGGTTTATCCATAATAAGCATTTTAAAGAAGAGGTAATATATACTCAACTGAAAAACAAAAATGGATCCAGACCACAGAATATAGCCCCTCCCCCAAGTGAAAACCATCTAGAACTCAAGAGATAATATAAGACTGACTCAATTACGATAGCCAGAACCTATCTTGTCAAAAAGAATGCTGTACCAAACCTAATAATCACTTTAAAGTTATCCTGATTCACCCAAGATCACTTGGTAGATATGTCTGGTAGATGTAGTCACCTCTCAGTTCTTGTTTCTGTGCTGACATTTAATTGCCACATATCCATGAAGGAACATCACTTCTTACTCGGGGTTGATCATGTTCTCTGGGAGCAGCAACTTGGTTTGAACTTACCTTACATGAAGACTCCACCTGCAGACCAGGGCAAGGTATTGGCCCAAACTGATAGGAGCTGGAGGATCTCTGTTCTACACTTTTGTGCTTATGTGTCTCTGAGGCAACTGGAAGTACAGAATCGGGCTTTAGAAGCTGTGAATCATCACAACAATTGAGAATAATTCTTGCTCTTTCTCCTGTTTCATGTCTTTCCAAAGTGCCTGGAAAACAAGATTAGAAATAAAAAAAAATTATGCACAATACTTACTCTGAAAGAATGAAAAGAACAAGACACTTTTATCAGAAAAAAATTAAAGTTAAAATTAAAATTTTTTAAATGATCATGCCTTCTTACAACTGAAAAAGTAGCCTGGGAGCTTTCTCTAAATTATTCAAATCATCATCTAACAAAGGCTGAAATTATGGGCTTGAAAACCTCATCTTCCTCCTTGTGCTCTTTTTATCCACTGAAATCAACAGGGCATTCAATAGTCTTTAACAGTAAAATCTTTTACTTATTATACACTATGCAAGTGATCAATAACAACCAACTATGGAATATTTTAGTGCTGTCCCCTAGTGTTTCAACTCACAAACAACAGAGAACTGCAGTGCTGTTTGCTAAAAAAAGAGAAGTTTCTGTTGGTAATATATGTACATAATTTAAGTGGATAGGACAAGCAAGAACACAGATGCTTTGTATTGCTACCTCCTTTTCCCAAGGGCCCTCACTGCTTCAGGAATGCAGACTACTCTAGAATTTTGTTATTGTTGCTATTATATCCTTTGACTTTTATTTATGTTATTAGAAGAAAAAACCCTCACAAACAATCCTTTGCCCTCTTCTCTGCCATTCTTTCAGTTCCAGAATTTCAAGATGCTAGTAAGTTCAATTCAAATTTAAAAGGATCAAGTACAAAGTAGAGCAAAATATCAGAATACAACTCACAAGGAGTTAATGCTTTTATAAAATACAATGCCGAACTCTCACTGAAATCTTAATAAATATGAATTAATCATGACCGCTGTCTCTTATGAGTTCATTTACATTATTCATATTATATTAAATATAAAACCAATATCCTACTAAGTAAAGATGCTAAGGAAAATTAACTTGACATACAAACTTAATACAGATTTCATCTCATATTACTCCTTCCTTATCAATGAGAAAGTAGTTGTACTAATTGTTAAGAAGGAGAAAAGTAATTCTTATTAGTAGTATTTTTTTAAGACTTTATTTATTTGAGAGAGAGAGAGAGTGCACAAGCAAGGGGAAGGTCAGCAGGGGAGAGAGAGAGGGAGAGAAACCCAAGCAGACTCTGAGCGGATCACAGAACCTGATCTCAGGACCCTGAGATCACGACCTGAGCTGGAACCAAGAGTTAGATGCTCAACTGACTTAGCCACCCAGGTGCCACTCTTCTTAATAGTATAAAGAAAATATAAATTTAAAGGAATTACAATAAGGAAATAAAAAGAATTCTATATTACTATCTTTAGATAAGTAGATTCGAAGATTAGCACTATCCAGTCTTTTCTCATTTTCCTCTTCTCTTCCATATCATTTCTTTACAGCAACTAAACCTCTATTAGTTGGTACTTTGGATTCTAAATCAGCAACAGCTACTATGCTAAAATATTTGGTGGAAGTTTAGTCTCTAGTCTCTTAACAATGACATATTTTTTTCATTCTAACATTTCTGCATTCATAAATTAACACCTTTAGCATATAAACTCACAAACATGTTATTTTTCTAGGCTTTTTTTCCCCATCAAGATGGATATATCTTGAACAAATAAAGCTGGCAGCAGCAAGAAAACCCCTTTTTTCAAGGACGATAATAACAAGTTTCTCAAACCAAAGATAATACTTATTACTCCTTTCTGAAAATGACTGCATTCCAGAACTTGTAACTGTGACCGCTAGCAAACCTCACTGACTTTCTGAGGTATCTCTCTTTGAATATGGTATCACCATGGATAGTTTCTCCTCATAGGGTTTCTGTGGTTCCTCAAACTGTGATTTCTTTTTTTTAAAGATTTTGAGAATTGTTGGGAAAGAATTTATTGTACTTTAATACATATAATATGTGCCTTATACTATACATTTTACACATACATATACATTATTCTATACCTAATGTCTTACACAGACATAACTATTTCTTGCATTTCTCAGTGATGAAAATAGTTTACCCATGAACTTGGGCAGCCATAATCTATTTTCATTCATGCATAGATAAATAATCAACTTAGCATCTACTGTGGGTCATTCATTCACTATGCCAGATGCTGGAAATTTCTGCTAAACAAGAATGACTCAGTTCTTGTCCCTCTTGAGCTTGCTTACTTAACATCTCATGGTTGTGTAGAGGCAAGAAAGATCTTAAAACTAATATGTTATAATATATAAAGTAACACAAGTTATTTTTACTCCAAACTAAAAATCTCCCATTCTAACAGAATGTTGGACACTTGGTTTTGTGAACAATAGCTTCCATCATGATTAGCTGTAAAGTATGTGAAAATAATTATTTTGTTCCAAAGAACTGGTGGAAGCACAAATGTGACATAAGGAATCATGAGAGTGAGTCAATTTCTTTTAAAGTCATCATAGACAAGTAAATTGCACGTTCAAAAAAATGAAGTGATTTTATTAAAAGTTCAAGACAACAGCTTTTAAAAGCCCTTGGTCAAAACACTGAGAGTGGATAAATAGTAAATCCCAGGTATGCCATTCACCAAATCACTGTTGCTTAGTTCCAAATTCACCTACATTGCCTGCTCTGTGAAAATGGTTATGTGCTCTTTAAATATTATTCCTTCAACAGCTGGTACAATGTTAACTTGTGTGGATAAAAGGTGATAAAAAAAAAAAGAGGGGCACACCTGGGTGGCTCAGTGGGTTAAGCGTCTGCCTTCAGCTCAGGTCATGATCCCAGCCCCTTGGAGGGCTCCTTTCCCTCTGCCCCTCCCCCTGCTTGTGAGATCCTGCTCTCTCTCTCTCTCTTAAATAAATAAATAAAATCTTAAAAAAAAAAAAAGAAAAAAGTAAAGTCTAGTAGAAGAAAACGGTTCTGTATGCTGTGCTGCAGCAGTATGGGTGGCTTCCCCAGCACCAGGCTCCAGCAGTGTGGGGCAGCCTGAAGCACCCAGCAGGTAGCAGCTGCCTTGGGCACACACTATGTGGGGCTGTATGACAGAGTACTTCTAGTGAGACATCTCTCTGGGAATGCTGTTCCCTAGCACCTTAGGGAGTCTATTTCTGGCAAGCTCCACCACACCACACCAGACCACACCAGACCACACCAGCTTTTCTACCATCCAGTGACCACAGCTATGACCTTTCTTGTAAAGTCAATATCTTAGCCCTGGGGCTGGGGTATCTCTTCCTTGCACAGCCTATCTCAGCTCTAGGGGTAGTGGCTGCTCCTTAAATCTGCTATTCTTATATTCTCTTGAGTCTTCTTTAGTTCTTCCCAACCAGTTCCTCATATCAAATTCTTTGTGAAGGTTAATAATTGTTTATATTAAATTTTCTCTGGTCAAATTACCGTGTCATTTGTCTCCCCTAATTAGACAGATTGCTATACCGTGATAAAACTCTTCCGATGCAGAATGTTCTTTAAAATAGATCCTGAAGTTATGGGATTCATATAACTTCAGGGACATATTTAAATTGTTAGAAGAATCTATGGCAAAAACGGTAAGCAAGGAGGGACGGCATGACCCTGAGGAGGTCCAACAAGCAGAGCCTTTGTAACTTTAATAACGATGTTTGGCAGCAGACAGAATTATCACTGCTTCCTGATATTAAAGAAATATCAGAAACTGAAGGTTTACAAACTTGCTTAATTCAACATCCAATTTCAAGAGAATTGTTGCTTTCCAAAATGAACTCGATAACTAGATCTTTTTTTTTTCTTTTGCTCTGTGCTACGTCAAGAATACAAGCTAACTCACACTTAACTCTTCATTTGAATCAAGCTGAACACGATAAGGAAAGATACGTGTGAATTACATGTGATTTTATGTGATAATATAATTTCCTCCCTCAAAGTAGGTATTATGTGAAAAATACCATAAAATCGATTCCAAGTAAAACTGTATTGTATAAAAATGCTTTCTATGCAAATATGTAAATATCTTGCAGTTTTTCTATTGCTTTCCCATTAACAGGAGTTTTAATACAATCTGTTCTAATCATAAACTAATAATAGTACCTCTGAGGATGGAATCAATCCTGAGAAAAGAGAGCTTGGAACAATTAGTGTCCTAACATAGTGAAGGAAAGATGACACCGGTAAGCATTAGAAGTACTTTTCAGTGATCCCAAATTGCTTATTCCTCAAAAAGCCAGTGCACAGAAATATAAGGAGTAGCAAGATCCTCTGTGCAGAGCCCTAGGCCCATATTGACAATATTTCCACTGTGTATCCTGCTTTCACTGCCAATTTGACATTGCATACCTAATCACTTTTTTTTAACCAAAACTTTCCCTGTGTTCCCTCTTTGCAACCCTGTCTAGCTATCACCCTCTCTACCTGTCAGGGATGACAGCCTGCAGACATCACTGGATGGTGGCTCAGAGAAGACCTGACGCCAGACTCCCTGCACATGAATCCTGGTTTTACCCTGACAGTCATCTGGCTCTGGGCAAGTCATTTTACATTTCTGTGCCTCCGTTTCCTCACCTGTGCAATGGGGTTAATAATTATTCTGACTTCACAGGGTTACTATGTGGATTTCACTGAGTAGATATTTTAAAAGGCTTAGAAGGTTCTGGCACACAGTGTGTGCTGTTCTATATGATAGCCCCCCTCTGACACATGACAAGTTCTCACTCAGCCCCTTGTGAGCAGTTTCACAAACCTCCTTGGCTCTTTGGCTCTGGGATCTGCCTGACACCTGGGCCTGGGGTCACTGCACATATGACCAGAGTGGGCCCCCCACTGTCTCCTACCTGAGACTCAAATCTTCTCAATCAGCCTTGCCTCTCAGGCTAGTTATAATCAGAATCAGTAGGATTATATTTTTTACTTATTTTTTAATCCTCTTTAGTAAACCAGGCTGAAGTCTGGCATAAATTAAAGGCTAGATAAATACTTCTTAATGGATTATATGACATCAGCAACCTGGCTAATGATTTTTTACTGTGGCGACACTTGGGATTAAATCCAAACTCCTTGACCTACAAGTCATATTCTTGCCTCTGCTT